AATTGTTAAATTTTTTACAATCATAGTATTTTACACATTTGTTAACGTCCTTGCTCACTTTAACGTAGGGCCTTTTGCATTCGCAACCGGTATAACAATCCAGAGTACAGGGTCTTAATGAGCGTTGGTAGTTTTGACAGGTGAGTGGGCATGGTGAACCGCATTTGTTATACCTTGCCCCTCGTCCGCAGTTTGTACGTTGCCACAACTCTAAAAATAAAATTAATTATAGTTGTAGTTTTAAAGTAAATGCTAGATTACATACCTTGACCATGTGCCAAGTATGAGCATAATATAATGAGAATAATTAAATTTTTAATCATGTTGACTATTTTGTTAGTTTTGTATTATAAAATTTTTTATTTATTTTGTCTAGCCAAACGTTTTTACATCAATTTCTTTATAAATATATTAATTTTATCATTAAAAAAACTTTACAAAAACTTTCTACAGGAAGGATATTAAATATGACATTAGTGTTTTATGTTGACTAAATAGATATTAATAGCAAAAATAAAATTAAATGTCTAGATTTTTTTGCAAAGATTTTGTCTGTTTCCTAGTCATTAATTTAAGTCATTAAGTTATTATTAAGTATAATTATAATTAAGTATAATTAAGTGTAATTATAAAGTACATCTTTATTTTTATTAAATATATTTAATTTATTTCAAGAGGCGAATATTAATTTTTTTTATAATTATTTAAAATAATTATTTATAACTTCTGAATCCACAAGTTTTTAAAACAATTAAAAAACAATTTAATTTGCCAATATAATTTAATAAAATAAATTTATTAATTAAACAACAATTTTTAATTTACTATTAATGTACTGTAGTTTATTGTATGCATACAAATTGACTACAGTCTACCCGCGTGTCTTCAGCCCCAACAGCCGCACTCGTCCGGTGCCACACACTTATCAATGGCATCGCTATAGCGTATGAGTCCGGGCGCACAAACACATCCCGGAGTGCACAGTCGGGAACACACGGGGTTAGAGTTGTCACATGTTGGCTGACAATGGGCCCCACAATTACTGTATACTCTATCTTTACCACAATCTATAAAAATTAAATTTATTTTATTTATTTATAGTTAAAAATTAGTTATATAGAAAAATTACAATAGTTTCAACAAATATTTACAACTTAACTTTGTTTTTAATACTTTCATTGCTTTTTACGGCAAGTATTAAAACAAAAAACATGGTAATTTGAATTATGTTCATCGCGTTTTTAGATCAATTGTGATAGTTTAAATGGTTTATATTTTCATTGTTAATTAGTTTTTATATTACAATGAAATTGTATAATTAGATAAGGTATTCAAAGAATGTAACAAAAATTAATTATAATACTTTTTACATTAACTGCAGTTTATAACTTGGTTTAGGCACGTTTAGGCATGATTTATTGTTTTACATATTGGTATTTAGTTTAGTATTTTACAATTATAATAATAACAACAATAATAATAGATTGTTATTTTGTTAAATCATTTAAATTTCAAATCAAAACTGTAAATAAATTTATAGTTAAATAAATTGATAAATTTCATTTTGGATTAGTTATTATATTGGGTGATCAATGAGTCCGATTACTCGTACATCATCATTATAAAATTAGTTTTTTCAACTTTAATAAATACAGTATGTCAAAATTTTATCATTAAAATAAATATTTAAATAAAAAATCATGCTTTAATATAATTGCTTAATTTATTTTAATTGAATTTATTAATTATAATTAAAAAGAAAATAATTAGTATAAATTTCAATTATATTACATTAACAAAATATGAGCAGTAACAGCAATAACAACCATGGACCAAACTACACAACTACACAAATTGTGTAGAATGACTAGGTCGTGGCGGTGGACCGCACTCACTGGGCCGCACACACCTGAGCCCGAGCCAGTCTTTAACATAACCGAGATTACAGGCACAACCGGACACGCACTGCAACGTACAGACCATACGCCCGGCGGGCCTACGCCTGGACGTTACGGTATGACAACTTGGAGCGCATTTGCTGCCACATGTGACATAGTGGCCATTAACGCATGATAGATCTAGAAAAAATAATTAGATTTATTTAATTAATAGTGGTTTTACAATTATTTTAATTTTTACCTTTAGCTAATGAAATAGTTAAACATACACTGATAAATATTAAAATCTTGATCGTTTTTATCATTATTATGGTTGTATTTGTTATGTACAGTATTACAATATTGTTTGAAAGTTTAACACCGATATGTAAATACGGCCATTTATTTACATTGTGTGTAATTAAATAAGTATTTGAATTAATTAAAATATGTTTTTAAAATATACACTTTTTAAATTTAATTATACAGTAATTTTATTTTTAATACATGTTAAGCATTACAACAATTTTAGATACAGCATACTGTATTATAATGTAGCGCTTGGATCGGGGTATTGGGAGCATTAAAAAAATGTGCGCCCCATAGATGAACTCCCCCTAGAATCTAAATGACCATTGCCATTATTCATTTAAGCACCAGTCAATCAACCGTAGCGCCTAATGCAATTTCTGGATCTCACGCATACGTTACTATTTCTATTCCGGCGTACGTAACCCGGGTTACAGACACAACCGGCCACACATACGGCTGCACAAACTTCTGGTGGACGGCGTAAGTTCTGGCACGTGGTGGGACAGGCGGTGCCACAGCTACTGAACCGGCCGTTAACGCACCCTGCACACAAATAATTTAATTAACTTATTGTATTTATAATATTAATATTGCTTACTTTGTGCGTATGTCAATGTTGCAATTGAAAACACAATCAACAGGGTAAATATTATCAAACGCATAATTTATCAATGATAATAAACTTTAAACAAAATTAATTTTTAATATATTTTTAATATAAATTTAATTTTAATCGCGATTGATTTATATAGTTTTAAATTTATATTAAAAATTGATCATGTATTAAGTGCGGATGTGGCAAATATCAATGTCAAGTTTTATTTGAAAGTAATTTTTAATCATGAATTTAATCATGCAGGAAAAGGATACCAAAATAAAAATTTTAATTTAATTGATGTAGTTGTTTTAGGAAAGTTTGAAATAATTGTTTTAATAGATTAATAACAAATAAAAGTATTATTTTTTATCAAGTGGAAACTAATTGTAGACAAACATTAAAAATAAAAAATTTTCTTTATAAAAAATAACCACAATTAAAACAGTCTAGTTTTGTAAATACTGTTTTTATTATAATTACAAGATTAAAAGTAATTAAAGAATTTTTAATACAGTTAATGCAAGCAGTTAATCTAGCTCATCAGCCCCTATNACAATTAAAACAGTCTAGTTTTGTAAATACTGTTTTTATTATAATTACAAGATTAAAAGTAATTAAAGAATTTTTAATACAGTTAATGCAAGCAGTTAATCTAGCTCATCAGCCCCTATTTTTACATTGACTGGGTTTAATACACCTGCCATTAGTACTGCTATATCGTATGAGTCCGGGTCCACAAATACATCCCGGCACACAATTTCGAGTACAGATCGGGTTATTGTCATTGCAGTTGGGCTGGCAATGGGCCGAACATTCACTGAACTGTCCTTTTGGCCCACAGTCTATGCAAACAACAAAATTATTATTATTTTATTATGATACTAATTAAAGCATTAACTCACTTTGAGCCCTTATACGCACAACCAATATTAGGGCAAACAATAGGATACAGTAAATAATCTTCATGTTGTTCTCTCAATGCTTAAAATAATTTACTACTGTATATTTTTAGCATATTTTGTAATTTTATATACTGGCTTAAGTGCGACAAATATTGTTGTTTGTTTAAGCATCCTGACATAACATGAGTTTTACATCAATAATTAATTGTAATATGTTTTTTGTTGATCATTATTAATGATTCATTAATAATTCTGTATTTCTAATTTCATTGCAAATAATATTGTGAAGATATTTGTCATTTATTTGCTATAAACTGTAAACATTTCTATATTAAGTTATTAACGGTAATAAATATGAATGTCATTTATTTTTGAACGGTTATTACAAAATAAATGTTGTAAATTAGATAATTAATTTTTATCTTAATCAAAGTTACATTGCAAAATATTATTTTACGTTAAACACTCATAAAATTCAAAATACAATTACATCAAACATTATAATACAATAGTGACGAGTAATAAATTAAGTTAATTGCAAAGAAAACAACAAACTCGAATTTTAAATATTTAATTACATGCAATATAATATGGTGATTTTCATAATTAGAACAAATAAATTATTAAAACACATGGATTATTTAGATATACAAATCCGTGTATTCACGCTATCCCCAGGTCATCAACCTTTGCGGGGACAGTCACGGGGTTTAACACACTTGGCATCTGTACGGCTATACCTGATGGTGCCAATGGGGCAAATACATCCGGGCAAACAAATGCGGGTGCATTTTGGGCTCTTGTCGTAACAGTTAGGCTGACAATGGGATTCACAGGGGGTGTATCGTCCGGTGCGACACTCTATGTCAATTAATATTAAAATTTTGTCATATAAAATTGTATTAAAAAATAATAATTTAATTGACATCAAAATATTTATTAAATTATTTTACATACTTTGTCCCTTTTGGGCGCTGATATTTACAATCAATACCAATGCAATCAATAAAGAAATGTAAATTATCTTCATGATTGATTGTTGTATTTTAGCTTGGTTATATTTATTGAGTATTTATAAATAAATTATGCAAATATTTTATTAGTTTATATACTATTTCAACCGACAAAATATAGATATTTAAATAACATTAGGCATCCCTTCTAAGAAATAACTGTAATATAAAATTTATACTACTATATTTATTAGCAATAATTATATCTTGATACATGATTGGGTGTCTGATAACTATAAGTTAAATGTTAAATAATAGTAATTATTTGATTTTAAAATTTTAGAGAAAAATTTAAAGTCTTTTATTTGATTAATATACAAAACTGTATGTAAACTGTTTGTATCTATACTGTAATTTCATTATTATATAGNCAACTCTGATCGACTACCGCCTTTAAGAATACAAAAATTTTCTAAATTCACCTTGACCAAACCTTGACCACCATTATTATTGCATATTTGATTATAAATATTTTTGAAATATGAGCAAAATGTAAATTTAAATCTTAATTTAATTTAGTTTTATTATAATACAGTGTATTTTTCATTTAAGATACGGGCTTTTTAAAGACAAAAGTCTTTCTTATGAAGGGTTTTTAATAAAGGATTTGTTTTGCTATTATACAAATAGGCAATAAATATTATTCTGGGTTTTAAATAGTGTGTTCATTACAATAAATACTTAAAATAGACATCCGGTAATTACATTTGCTCTCACCTTGACCTGTCTATGTCAAGGTGAGACCCTCGCCTTTTACCTTGACCAGAACCCTCTCACCTTGCAAATCAAGGCAAACCTTGACCAGTTGGCAACCCTAGTTGGGGCTAATCTCAATGTCGGCAGACGTGTAGTCACTAAGTCGGGCACTGCTACACATGGATTTTGGAAATGTTATTTCTTATTGTACATTTTTAAATACAAAATTACGTGATTTATATCTTGTTATTATTTAATTTACATTGTATTTTATTTAAATGGAAATCCTTTTCCTACTTTAAGGCAAATACAGTAATAATACAATGGTTATAACCGGAATATGCAATTTGTTAGTTATTTTTTATAATAGAAAAGTGTATAAATAAATATCTAATATTCTGAGAAGTTAATGAAAATTATCATTTTTACTAGTTTAAATTAAATTATCCCTGAAACATACCCAGTATTAATAGTACAATGCATATATTATTATTAACCATGTTTATCATCTCGTCATTGTCCGGTCTATCCTACTCCAAGAGTAAGTACTTGACAATAATCATAATAATTAACCTGCTAATATTGTTTTAATAAATGTGCAGTATGCCCAAACACCCATTATAGTCCCTGCGTTACCGCGTGTCCCATAACGTGTCAAAACATTGGTATACCCATCGCCTGTACCGCTAAGTGCGCGCCCGGCTATGCCTGCAATACTGGGACCGTCCGTCTGGATAGACTCAGTGAACACTGTGGTCGACCCCGTGATTGTCCCCGATTAGCCCCCGTGTGATTGAAATCTGTAAAATTAAAAGTTTTATGTTGATATTAACTTAAATAACATCAATAAATATAATTATTTGAATAACTAAATTTGTTATAACTAAAACGAAATAAACATAATTTGTACGGACTATAGTTGTGTTAACATAAATGTTTCAAAATATGATATAACAAGTTTATATTTTAAAAGTGATAATTTCAATTTAAAAATAACACTGATATTGACTTTTAAATAATATGTGATGAGAATCACTTATGAATTTGTCCCATTCATTAATTGATAAATGTATGCTCAGAATAATTCTCAGATAAATCTAAAACTATATAATAATGAAATTACAGTATAGATACAAACAGTTTACATACAGTTTTGTATATTAATCAAATAAAAGAATTTAAATTTTTCTCTAAAATTTTAAAATCAAATAATTACTATTATTTAACATTTAACTTATAGTTATCAGACACCCAATCATGTATCAAGATATAATTATTGCTAATAAATATAGTAGTATAATTTTTATATTACAGTTATTTCTTAGAAGGGATGCCTAATGTTATTTAAATATCTATATTTTGTCGGTTGAAATAGTATATAAACTAATAAAATATTTGCATAATTTATTTATAAATACTCAATAAATATAACCAAGCTAAAATACAACAATCAATCATGAAGATAATTTACATTTCTTTATTGATTGCATTGGTATTGATTGTAAATATCAGCGCCCAAAAGGGACAAAGTATGTAAAATAATTTAATAAATATTTTGATGTCAATTAAATTATTATTTTTTAATACAATTTTATATGACAAAATTTTAAT